GGTGCAGTGTGGTCTGGCATTTGGCAGTGAGGAGTGGTGGAGGTGAGTGTCGGGCCGAGTGTGGGCATGACACTCGCTGATCTTGAGACAATTGATATTAAGGATTTTTTTTGATATCAACAAAACATTGCTCATGCTTTTGCAGAGCCAAAACTAGTGTGTATCATTGGAGAAAGGATTGATGGGTACATGAATCCATGCATTTTAAGTCAATATATGACATTATTTTTAGATGATTATCTAGTTATGGAGAACATGTGCAAACTGTATTCTAATCATCTCATTCTTAGCCCATAATTGGTCTTCTACGGCAGCTGAATGTCTGTTCTAGGTTTGGACACATTCAGGCTTTTTCACTAATATGAGAATCGTGAGACATTCAAAGTTAATTCAACATAAATTTCAAATTCAGGGCCAAAATATGGGGGGAAAAAAGAAAATAAATCTCCATGTCAACGATACTTGCAGACTACTTTGGCCTTTTGTACATCACACTTTTATAAAGAGTGATTGTTTGAATTAGTATTTATTTTATTTTCATCAGTGTCATTCTCATCTGACCTATCTGAGCAGCGCACTTTTAACCTATAGAAATACTGCTACTTCGATGCTGGTCTTTCTAAACCCATTTCCATAAACTTTGGAGATTGTAGTGCATGGTAGACCCAGGAGAAAATCTCACATCTCATGTGTTTTTTTTTGTTTTAAATTCTTTATTTTTGCGTGCATAAAAGAAAAAGCAGTTACAGATGTATTTGCAATGCCCCAACAGCATATACAAATGATATAACCGCAAACATTGAATTAGCAAGGCATGAGTTGTAAATACAATGCACATTTTTATATAGTGGCAGGAAGACTGGTTGCAAGCTAACATGGAGACAGTGCTGGCTAGGCATAGCCTATCATGGTATAGGGATGATTAGTATAAGCACTGTGACTGATATAAATAACTCCCAGGAGGCCCCCCAGGTTTAAGTCCTATTGTGAGAACAAAAAAAAAAGGGAAAATGCTAATGGGGGTATATTAAACAATTATTAAGCTTGACACATGGTGTGGGCACTGTGGCTGTATTGCTGAAGTACCATGTGTAAGATGGTCGGTACTTGTGCTCCATCCCAAGGTCAGCCAATATCTCGCTGGGGTACTCCACTTTTCTGCCAGGAGAGTCTCAATGCCAGGCCCCGTTGCCCACCCAGGTAGAGATTGGAAATGAGGCAAGCTTAGTAAGGTTTGCAAGCTTGTGTAGCCTCAAGATCCAGCGTGAGCTGTGAGACAGGCTGTGTGCTAGCCAGGTTTGGTTGTGGCTTCTTGCAGCGTTAACTGCCTTTCTCTTGCTGGGATGCCTGGAAGAGTTCCCATGGGCAGCTTGGGTTCACAGTGAGCTGGTCATCTGATCCGCCATTTTCGGGCACTCTGGACTTTGAGCAACATGGGTTTGCCATAGAATCGTGGAGGCAGCTTGTGAGGGAAGTTTCAGACCCTGCTACTGCCTGAGTTCCAGCTTCCTCCAGAAGGCAGTGAGTAAGCTGTCCAGTCTGGCATCGAGGTCCCAGCATTTTCTGCTTCTCTATGGCCGCACCGGCATCTGCTTGTTAGTCTTGTGGAGCCGGGTTGCCTCCCTGGAGTGGACCAGGATCACCCCCACTGGTCCCTGGGGGGGATAGGATGTCAATGAATCCACACCGCCAGTGCCAGGATGAGAAGAGCATCCGCCTCTCCCCATCACCACCATCCGCAGGCCGCGGCAAACCAACTCAGGCTCCCGATCTCAAAATCACTCGGGTCAGAGATCTGGGAACACACCAGCACACCCTAACTTGTGTAGAACTATTTGGTGCGTGTTAAAGCTTTGCAATTTCATTTTTATTGGGATATGCTAAATGGCCCATAAATTTGCAAAACAACCACTTTTTTTCCAGTTTATTTTGTATAAAATGCAGAACCTAGTATACTGATCATTTCAAAACTCAGGAAATCCCTAAATTGTGTGATGATTTTGCGCACATTAACACGATAACAATGTTATGTGTGTAGAGCAATGATTTTATTATTCTTTGAGTTTTTAAGTACTTGTAAAGTTTTTTTTTTTTTTACATCAAGGTTTGAAGGAATTAGAAACGGTGTTAATTAGCAATCGTATCAATTGCTTTCTCTCTGTGTGCAATTCTTTGATCCTGTCTGATATGACTGAGCTAAACAAAGTCAGTATCTTAAAATTTATGAGGACCACTGCATTCTAAAAGCCAAAAAAAAAATAGAGAAAGTGAATTATCTTGTTTCAACTATGTTCCCACTTCTCAAGACAGAGCATCCAGAGAAAGCATACTGAACTGTCACTAATTTGACAGCTATTGCTGGAAAAAGCTCATAAAACTCAATAATGCACTGGGACAAATGCCAGTTACAAAAAAAAAAAATTAAAAAAAAATTTACCTTGAAAGTTTAGCACTGGACATTATTATGGAACAAAGATTCTGATGTACTCAATCGTTTTATCGCATTAATGCATCAAAGCAGCACATAAAAAAAAGTCTTTAAGATTACCATACAGTCGTGTGATGAGTTTCGCTGGTACTTTTTTTAGAATTTGATGGCCATCTGCGAGGATTGAAATGTATAAAAATGGCCAAAAATGATAAGAAAAAAAAATATGTGTTTTGCTCTCTGAGTTAAATTGGTTTTCCCGGAGGAAGCATGGAGATAGCGGAAATCTCTTTAATTGAGACATATTCAGTGAAAGGAGACAAATGAATGCAGTCTTATGACAGAAATTCGACAAAGGAAAGAAATTGTTGAAATCATCCGTTTCAGGGACAGTGATTGTCTGTGAAAGTTCTGACTGACGACAGCAATTTTTAAAAAAATGGGCAAAACTAAAACGCATAGTAAGCACATGAATACTTTGTCAGTGCAACCCTATATGTGCCAATGTATGGATTTTGCAATGTTCAATCCCCAAATTAGTTAGGCTGCTTTACATAATACATAAATAATGGGGGGAAACAATAAAATAAATAAAAAAATAAAATAATAATAATAATATGTTGAAAACGCAAATTCTAATAACTTTTCCAGTCTCAAAATTATTCAACCCTTTCATGGCAAGCCTCTTTAGTATTTAGTAGAGCACCCATTTGCTGTTATAACCTGCCGCAAACGAGGTGCATAGTCAGACACCAGTTTTTGGTAGCATTTCTGAGGAATCTTAACCCATTGCTGATGAACAATGGCCTCTAGTTCATTAATATAATTGGGTGTGCATGCTGAACGACTCTTTCAAACCCCACAAGAGATTTTCTATGGGGTCCAAGTCAGGTGACTGTGGTGGCCACTGTAGAATGGACTAACGTTGTTCGTTTCAGTAGAATTCGGGGAAACCACTTGAAGCATCCATTAAGTTAAGCTATTTCAATTGCTTTTTTATTATTTGTTAATTGCAAACAGCTCATTTTGACAATAAACCGGAATTTCAATGGGGGTTAAATAATTTTGATTACAGCTGTATATATAATTCATAATATTAGTATTATTTCATTTTAATTTATTTTATTTCCCCCTCCACAGATTATTATTATATATCCATCATGCAAGATCCAGTGCACGCACTCACACACCTTCAACAACACCAATGTACCCAATTTTGGGAGGTCCATCCTAGCAATCTAATGCCTGCTTTCATGAGATCAACTCACTTGTTTGGGAAATGCTTACTCCTGGGGCTCTCTACTGGTCAGAGTTAAATAGGGAAAGGGAATGAGGCACCTGTGATACGAAGGGGTACAAAACCAGGGAATATATATATTATTAACTCAATGGATATATATATATATATATATATATATATAAATAGCGAAGGCTTGCACTCCTGGTGTAATCCTGTGGTGCCCGGTGCTGGTCTGGCAAGGATCATGTAGACATAGCAGAAATGACCGCACTCCAAGGACTTTATAGAGATTTTCAAATAAAATTTAGCTTTTATTCAATCCATTTAAAAAGTCAACGTTTCAGCTCCCACATGGAGCTTTCATCAGGACAAAACATAACTTACAAGTGCAGACACAAAGAAATATATACCCCCAATCCCTCAAAATAATTTACCTTAATTGTGTACTCACCTAGCCATGAGACAGCTTGCCCTGCATTAGAGAGTAATGCAACTCTGAGTGTGGTGGCCATGTGTGCAAGGCCCAGAAAAGGGGCGGGGCTACAGGTTACTAAGTAACAATCCAACTGGACTGGTTGCTTTCCACTTTGTGTCCTAGTAGCTACAATCATGATTGAGCTCAGGGTAAAGTAGGAGTGGATACAGAGTCTAGAATGTTTCAAAAATGAATCTGACTGTCTTCATATATTTAAACAGTATAACAGGCTGGAAGGGCCATCAGGAATCCAAAATCTGTTAACATACTGGAAATTCACTCTTTGAGTGCTGGAGCAATTCATCCAATGCAGCACTGAAAGGGTGTATCTGTTCCTGTGTAACTGAGGAAAGAGCTGAACTATAAGTCTATTCTTAAACTTGTAGCAAATAGGGTGGGCATATCTCATGGTTCGGATCTAAAAAACACATTTAATATAGACATACATGATTTTAAAAATAAAAATAAAAACAACAGCTCAAGGCAGGAGGTGTTACCATGTTAATACATTGATTATGCATAGGGTACTAAAGTTTAATAAATAATATGGACAGACAAAATGACCAGTGTTGAATTGCATAGTGTCCCCTGCATAGTTATTTATGATTATATACAAGATGTGACATGAGTAGTGTTATCTCTTAGGTACATAGCACACAGCATTGGAGTATGGTGGTCTAGTAGGGTATTTAACCCCTATATGATTAGTATGTGTGGCCAAACTATGTGTAATAGCCTAATTACCATGCATGGAATAAGCAATGGAATGATATGCAATGTATGCAGGGGGAGCATAAATCAAATTATATCAACAAGACAATTTATACACATTGCTGTATAAACAAATATGTTTAGGATTATTGGATGAGATTAAACAGTGTATTTAACTCCTACAGGGAAACAAAAAAATGTACTATAGAAACATAGATAATGTGTACTTCTCGTTCAAGCCTCTGGGATATACTGTGTCCAAAGTTTTTATCCAGAACGTTTCACGTTGTAGAAGAAGTTTACTTCGATCACCCCCACGTCTGAGGGGGGGTATATGGTCTATAGCCATAAATTTCAGGGTGGGTAACGTGTGGCCATGGGCCAAAAAGTGTTTTGCTACAGGGAGTTCAGCCTTATTGTCCCTATAGGCAATGCGAATGTTGGATCTGTGGTTGCGGATCCGTTCCCTCAGTGGGAGGTCAGTTTTGCCCACATAGGAGAGGCCACACGGACACTGAAGTTTATAGATGACAAAATCCGAAGTGCAGGTCAACCTATGCCTAATTTGGTACTTCCGCCCAGTGTGTGGATGCTGGAAGAATTTTCCAGGTATCATGTGGCTGCAGGTGACACAGCCCAGACAGCGATAGCAACCAAGGCTCTGTGCTGTTTGTTGTTTGGTGTAGCAGTGTACTGGGTCCGTCTTTACCAGGAGGTCACGTAGATTTTTTCCCCGTTTATAGCACAACATGGGTGGATTCTGAAAGATTTTTGGTAGTGTTGGATCTTCTGATAGTAAACGCCAGTTGGAGTGCAAGGTGTTCTTGAGGCTGTGGGATGCCGTATTGTAGGTGGTCGGAAAGACTAGTCGTGGTGTATCATCTTTTTTCTCTCTCATAGGCTGTTGGCTCTTATCAAGTGCTTTCTGAAGAGTAGCATCCTTGTAGCCTCTCTGTTTAAACCTATTCCATGTTTCTTTAGTTTGTAAGCATGCTCTCATGGGATCTGAGTTATTCCTTTTAACCCTTAGGAACTGGGAGAGTGGTAAGGATTCTTTCAAGTGTCGTGGGTGAAAGCTGTCAGCTTGGAGTAGGGTGTTACGATCCGTTGTCTTGGTGAATAAAGTATACCCAAGCTTCATCTCTTTTTTAAAGATATGGACATCCAAAAAATTCACTGCATCCTGGCTCACTGTCATCGTTAATTTGACCGGTGTGGGTGCCCTGTTGATGGCCTCTATCATCTCCAAAATGGACTGGTGATCTCCCTTCCATATAAGGAACACGTCATCAATGAAGCGCCTATAGAATAAAATATTTGCTTCATACGGTTGTAGAATGTGGAGGGTCTCAAATATATACATAAAGCTGTTGGCATACATGGGTGCCATAGCTGCTCCCATGGAGGTCCCCGCTATTTGCTGGTACCAAGTTTCTTCAAATCTGAAGTAGTTAAGTGTAAGGACTGCCTCCAGGATTTCCATGACGTATTCAATCGGGGGGCCTGTGTATGTTGTTGAGTCTTGTAACACTTTGCGCATTGCTTCTATACCATCCAAATGAGGAATGATTGTGTAGAGACTTTTCACATCACACGTTACCAGCAGTGTAGTAGTGTTGGGTAAATTGATGGTGTCCAGAAGTTTCAATAGGTCTGGGGTATCTTTAATGCAGGTGGGAAGCTTGACAACTGTATCTTTAAATAAATAGTCCAGCCACTGAGCCAATGGTTCCAGTACTCCCCCTATGGCTGACACTATGGGTCTGCCTGGTGGATGATCAATGCTCTTGTGTACCTTGGGTAAGGTGTAAATAATCGGAGTCTTAGGTGTGGACTGGATCAAGAATTTCTGTAACTCTGTTGTCACAAAGTTAGCTTCCACTCCTCTTTGTACAATCGCTGAGATTTGTTGTGTGATACATGCTGTAGGGTCGCCCTTAAGTTTGGTGTAGGTGTCTGTATCTTGAAGCTGGGATAGAAGTTCCACTCGATAGTCACAGTAGTTAAGAAGTACTATGCCTCCACCTTTGTCCGCCGGTCTAATGACCAAGTTCACATCGTTTGCTAGTGAGCGGATAAGTTCAAGGTCTTGCTTTGTTATGTTGCTGAAATGACGTTGTTTGGTTTGCAAGATTATATCCATGTCTCGCTGCATATTACGCAGAAATGTCCTTATTGATAACTGCTGTGTTGGAGGGTCAAAGGTGCTTTTGGCTCTAAAGTGACCCATTTCACTGGTAGTTGGGGAGGAGGTGTTTTTGAAGAATTCCTTCAGGCGTATGGTTCTTCCGAATTTGTATAATTCTACGTCACTCTGAAGGTGGTTTGGGAGATTGGTTGGCACAAAAGAAAGTCCTTTTTTGAGTAGTTCGGTTTCATTGGGTGTTAATATTCTATTTGATAGGTTGAAGATTGGGATTACCTCGGTGGTCGTGGTGGTTTTCCCCTTGTGGTATGATCGGCCTTTCTGGCCCCTTCTGGTAACATACCTTCTCTTTGTCTTGTTAAATTCCTTGTATGGACCCTGGAAGGTGGTCCTTGATCCTGCTCTAAAAAATCTTGTGTAGAGGATTTGTTGGACTGGTTAGAGTGTGATGGTTCTGAGTCAGAGGTTGATTCCCCAGATGTTCGGTCAACAGTAAATTGTTTAGGTTTAGATATAGGTCTTCTTCGTCGTGCAAACCGTGGTCTGTCTGCTTGACCACTAAGCCATCTGTAGACACGATGTTCTCTATAATCATTATTGACTTTCTCTTGTTTTTCTCTTTTAAAACGTACCAGGTCAGTTTTATACTCCTTCACACTCTGCTCAAGTTTAAGCATTGTTGGTGCTGCTTCAACTGCTGACAGCAATAGAGCCTCTCTTGTTTCCAGTTCAGTTATCCTTTTCCTCACTTCTATCAAGTCCTCTCTGACATCTTCTATTATTACTAACATCAAATCAAGTGAGCATTTATTCAGGACAGATATCCATCTTTTACATACCTTAGGCTTGAGCCGGCCAATGGTAGGGATGTTTTTGATCCTGAAGCCACGTGGAACTTGTAGACGTTTGTGATAGTCTGATAGGAAGAGTCCATGGAGGTCTAAGTCTGTCTCCCTTTTCCTCAATCTTAGTAACTCGAAGTAGATTTCTTTTAATGTGTAATATATATATATATGTGTAAAAACAGATACAATTAGTATCTTATAATATCTTTTCATATACTTTATGAATGTGCATCTTGCCAAATGCATTCGACCCTATTTAGTATAAAAATCATGCTTTGTGAATCTTCCTTATTTTATCATTTGTATAGGATTTGGATACAAAACACCGGATTTAAGCCAGACACTGAATCAATCAGCTTGATTGCTGCAGATTTGCTTGGGCTGGCTGATTTGTTACCGTATTTGTTCTTAGTAAATATTCGGTCATTTTCATCCAGACAAAATATGGTGTTTACTTGAATAACCCCACAAATAAAGGTTTTTTAAAAAAAACAAAAACAGCTAAATATGCAGGAAAGAATGAAATGGTCACCTATGCTCTTTAGAGATACTGTTACTTCAAACCGCTAGTTAGCTAGGAAAGAACTGTCTGTGCATTTCAGACTTTATAATCATTGATTTTCTTTGGTCGGAATGGTCACTTCGTAATTCTGAGATTGCCGACACAAGCGGCCTATCCTGTTCATTTCATTTCAAATCAACATCAAAGCACACATTGGAGATGTCTATGATGGGAGTTTGTTATGCTGCCTACAATGTTTCTTAAGAACCAACTTTTGGAACATGAAATTCCCTTAGGCAGTTACATCACCATTTCAGATTAATTTTTTTTCTCTCTTCTTTTTCTTTTTTCTGTGATTTCATAATTTCTCAGACTCATTAAGTAAAATGACAGAAGAGCGAAAGTAGATAAACGCAGACATTTTCATCATTGGTCATAAATAATGTCTATAACTTTGGGGTTTGTGATGAGAAAGAAAATGTGTTATAATTGTTTGTCTAATTATTTTTTTTTTATATTGTCTTTGTTTCACCCTTACATAATTGACATATTTTAAAACCCTTATAAAAACAAATATTTTTGAAGACATTCTAAATAGATTATATAATTAAGTTACGTCAATATAGTTTGGTATCTGAAATATGGGCTAGGGATAACCCATTTCATCAGTTTAAATAAAAAGCATTTGATAGGTAGAGCAGTACAAATTCATTTTGAAAATGAGAAAGTAAGCCTTGATTAATTACATGTGCATATTTGAAATGCTGATAAAAAAAATTGAGTACCATTTTACCTCTTTATTGGACAATATATTGGCCCAATATTTGGAACCATCAGGTGTCGGGAGCTTCTCAGTTAGTCCTGTCTAAAAGATTTCTAAAGTAAAATAGTTCACACGAGATTTGTTAAACAAAGCCAGTTACTAAAGCAAATGGTTTAACAATTCTTTTAGGACAGCCAGTACTTAACAAATGTATTACTATATCATCATAGTTAAATTGCAGGAATAAGTTCACAATCAACTACTATATTTATAGATAATGTTCAATAAATATGATTGCAGTAGCAAACTTGTGACCTTGGTGTATATGTTAGAAATTAATGTTTGTGTAGTAGCTCTCAAGATAAGCAGAATGTAGCCTACGGAAGCATTCTTCCAGTGCAAACGTGTAACAGTTGAGTTTGGTAATCTAAACACTGGCTGACTGGTATTCTGTTAATATAGTTTGTGAAATGCTTTATCCATATAAGTCTCTGTACCCATCAGAGAGGTCAAACAGTTGGCCAATGTTTTTCTTACCTGTCAGATGAATTTTGCATGGAAGGCTAAAAATAAATTATGCTGCCTTGTTTACTTTGAAAAAAAAATTGGTCTCCTGGCTTTGTTCCGCTCCTGTGGCAAATCGTTATTAGTCAATAGGACATAAAATAACTTTTAGGATAGTGATACCTTGGGGTAAAACTTGAGAATGAAAGAGATGAAGCAAATAAATCAAATACACAAGGACTGAGGGAGAATTCAATAAATGTTGGAATGTTAAAATTGAGATATTCAATACACGGTAATGGTAATATAAGGATTGGGGAGGATTGACAAGTCTAAATTAGGGAGGTACGAAAGCCAGGACAATTGTTGGAGTAACACAATAGAACAGAGGTAGAAAAAAAATAAAATGAAAAACAAGATGGTGAGAAAGAAAAATGTAAAAAATTGCACCACCATTGGGGAACAGTCACAATGGGAATTATATACTGAGTCATGAATTTGGCCATAGTGTTTCACAAAACTTAAAAGTTTGCCTTATGAATAATCAGATCAAGATTATTATTACACTGCATTAAAATGTCTGTGTTTTGGGACAATAGGTTTTCTTATGGTGATACCTGGAAACATGATACACAGACGATAACTACTGCTCCTCACTTATGATTATTTGTTGTTTGTTCTATTGGCATTATTCGCTAAAGAGTAAAAAAAAAAAAAAAATGATGGTAGATGAAATGGGATTCAAAGTGAATTTCAAACTGCAGACCAATAATGCTGAATTGAAAACATAGTCATAATGCTGGCAAAGCATCAGTGAAGATGTAGTCCACAACATCTGAAGTGTCAAAAGTGGCCTACCCTTGGTCTAGGTCAGGCTTCCCCAAACTCCAGGCCTTCAGATGTTGCTGAACTACAACTCCCATGATTCTCATATTTCACTCGTAGAATCATGGGAGTTGTAGTTCAGCAACATCTGGAGTACCAGAGTTTGGGGAAGCCTGGTCTAGTCGGTGAGTGTGAAGTAGGGTAAAGGGATTGAAGGGATTATAACGAAGATTACATCCCAGGGATCAACATGTTTTGGTGGAATATAGGTTAGGGATCATTTAATTATGCCAGATGTTTCTTCTTTTTTTATACTAAATAATATAAATTAGTTTTGCTCCATAAATACACACTTTCTATCCCTTCCATCCACCATGCACCATTTTTGTTGCTCTTCCAATGTAACTTCCGTCATACTGTCATGACCTTCTGGGGTGGTTATTCAGCTTTTAGTTATCTGTGGCAAAAATCTGAATATTAAACTGCAACTTCTCAGAAACCCTATCTACAAAGTTTTTTCCCTCTCAATGTAATGAACTAAAAAAAAAAATCAGTAAAATACATCTTGGAGTGTCCCTGAAATTTTTTTTATTTATTTCCTAACCTTAATCTCTCCAATACTATAATCATTATGAACTGTCTTTCAGTTCAGAAAACAGAGAACTTTTCTATTAAAATAAATTTCTATGATCAAATACATGTTTTTGTCCAGTCCAGTGGAGGAGTGGGACTACCTTTCTTACCATTATACTGTCAAGGTTAAGCTCCCCAACACGCAAACTAAGGGGCTCAAAAGGCACACCAAGCCAGACGTATTACCAGTCATTCGAATGGCTGGACTTAATGTGAAAAGGTACAAGGATGAGAATAGAAAGGTCAGGCAAGCCAAGGTCAGGATAGGAGAAGGAAGAAAAAGCGAATAACAAAGCCAAGGGTCAAGGATGCCAGAAGTACGGATAACCAGAAAACAAGCCGAAGTCAGGTACCAAAATAGACAAACCAACAGAACGCACTCTCGGGCTACAAGAGACTACAACAGGGCAAGGAAGTGATGAAAGAGGGAGGTATAAATAGGGCTAAGTGAGAGCTGAAAGGCTAGGGAACATAATAAGGCAGTAATTAAATAGAGTGCCAGTTCAAGGTAAAAAATGGTACTTCCCCCTTAAGAAGCCGGAGACAAGTCGCATGCCCCCTAGCTAGTAATAGCGCATACATGCGCGCTCGATGGGGCATCTCCACAGGGTGGTAGGATAGGACGGATGGCGGGACCGGAGCACATACTACTAGATAGACTAGCTCTAATACCCATTTAGGATGCTCCAATAGGACCTGACACTCATAGGTCCTGGAGTTAGATCTAACAGGCTTACCAAAAATGTATTAACCTATCTCAGAGTACAATATCCTTCAGTGTTCATAATTTATAACCTTATTGGACGGAATGGTCGTTCAACATCACACAACCTTTCGTCCCTATCCCAAGTCTTCTCTACTGTGTAGCCACCAATCCCCTTCTCCCCAGGGGGATTAAGCTGCATATTTCAAGGGCCTGGAGAAA